AACCCTCCTGCCAGCCTGGTCACTTCACACAGCCTGTTTGGTCATCCATTCGGTTGCGATGATCACTTAGGCTTTTATATAGATAGATGGCTAAATTTAAAAATGCTCCAGTTGTCTATAATCTCATGGGCACATCATGTACAATTATCCTACATCTCATGAGTGAGAGTATTCAAGGTAAAAGTCTACACCTATCTACTTTCAGTGACGTTGGCCATATATAGTAAAATCTTTGCCTTTCCAAATACTGAATGTTGAGGGGGAGGGAAAATGGCAGAGGTATAAACGGACGTGTCCTGTGCCTTGTCCTGGAGCAGATAAGGGTGAGCAGCTGAAACGGGTAACATACAGCCCGAATAGGCAGAGGATTTTCAGCTGAGAGACTGTCTGCAGCTAGGAAAGACCGAGAACCCCCAGGAAAAAAAGGACGGTTGGAGACTGCGGCTGAAACCTCTCTTGGTGCGCCAGCTAAGCAGCGGAGACTGCGCCATCTTGGGTGGTTGTTGCCGGCATCCAGAGACCAGCTACTAACCTGGAAACAAGGGATCTCAAGCAGCGTGACTGCGTGAACTCAGACGAGCACTGCTTCTTCTCACGGAAAGGTTAGACTTCCCCTAAAGGTGCGGTTTGCAATTCGGGTTGGAGAGAGGACCGAGCTCGCGTGCGCGCGGGGCAAAATCTGCGCCCCACAGGGTCCGCAGCCGTTGGGACCAGCGTGACCCGCGAGTGGGGAACGGGCCCCACAGGGCTGCTGGCAGAAGGGAACGCTAAAAATAAGCCCATAGCTGGACTGGTTGTAAAAAAGCAGCCTTGGACTTTGCCAATCTGCCAGCTGCTTGGTGCCAGGGGCGAGTGGGCGCGCGGAGACTGCGCGCGGAGACTGTGCCCAGACCTGGAAGGTGGAGGCTTGCGAATTTGCACAACATATCAGGCTCTTGTTACAGTTCCCCTTAGATCCGTGCATTTGATTATTAAACCCAGTGCATGGGATTCCCCAGTTGGGGGCATTCGCAGAGCCTGTAGGGGAAAGTTCTTTTTGAGGAGCCTGGGAAACAGTGGGCAGTAACAATTAAAGAACCAGCTCTGGGCAGTGGTCTTTCCCAAATCAGTTCCAAATACCATAGAGAAAAAAAAAAACCCTACTGATAGAGAGGACTTATAGCCTCAGAGGTCAATCCAGACACACTGCCACCCAGAGGCAGAGCCACGAACTGTCTCTTCTGTGATCACAAATAAAGGCAGTCTGGTAAACAAATACAACCTGCCTTAAAATCAGGTCTGTGGTTTACTGCACGGAGGGACAGTGTATCGCAGGGAAGTTCAACACTCCCCTGAATGCCTGGCAGGACTAAGGCGTGCCAAAAAGAAGAGTGGAAGATCTGAAGCACCTTCACTTCCGAATATTTTTATATATATATATATTTTAATTCTTTTTTCACCATTTCATTAAGAACCTATTTTATTATTTTTTTTATTTTTCTTTATTTTATTTTGGGATTAGTGTTCTACACTCTATTTTCATCGTTCCTTTAGCATCATTTCTCTCTATCTCACATTTCCCCTTAAGCCAAAACTCTCTTCCTCACTTTTCCCCGTTTGTTGTCCTATTTCTCTTACCCTATTCCTGCTTTGGATTTTCCCTATTCCTTCTTTCTACCCACTGTCTAAATTTCACCCTACTTATATATCTAATTTCCAATCCCTCACTCTAAATCCATATACACCTCTCTCTTATCTTTCTTCACTGTCCAATATTTTTTTCTCTCTCTCTGTCGTTTTGCTAGTGTTTGCTTGATTTTGAGTATATTGGGGTTTTTTATGCTTGTGTGGGAAATTGTTTCGTTTTTTATTTTCATTTTTCTGTTTTGCTTACTTTTTCTTTACCTGGTTATTTTCGTGCTTCTGTTTTCCCTTGCCTTGCTTGATATTGGTGGTTGTTTGTAGTTTGCATTAGTCTCCAGGGATCTGCTGCTGGAGTTCATTGAGACTGGTTGCGGTTCTCTTGGACTTTTCTCCCCATACAAATAGCCTCTTCCCCACCTCTATTTCATTCTCTTACTTTTTTTTTTTGTCTCTGTTTTTTTCTTCTCTCCCTTTTCCCAACCTCATTTCGGCACTCCTTTTTGTTTTTTATTTTTCTCTTTAATCTTTTTCTCTTTTTTCTTCTTTATCCCCTAATTCTCTTCGCTCGGGGGGTCACCTTTATTTGGGGTTATTAATATCGTGAATGCATTTAGTTCGGTGCCTTGTACGTTGTGCCTTGTGTTGTACTTTGTGCCTTTGAATCAGCGCAGCAGAGAGAGAACTACACAACCAAACACCCTGAGAAGAGAAATCATGGTGAAACAAAGAACCAACCCAAATATGAAAGAAAAACAGGCATCATCAGAAAAGGAAGTAAACGAAATGGAGGCAATGGAGGCAAGTAACCTGTCAGAGAAAGAATTCAGAGAAATGGCCATAAGGCGGATGAAAAGAATGGAAGACCCATTCAACAATATGTGTAGGAACCGAGAGGAAATGAAGAAGAACCAAGAGGAAATGAAGAGAAACCAAGAAGAAATGAAAAATGACGTCACTGCTATAAAGAACTCAATAAAAAGCATCAACAGTAGACTAGAAGAAGCAGAGGACCGCATCAGCGAGGGAGAAGACAAGGTAGAAAAAAATCCCCAAACAGAACAGCTTCTAGAAAAAAAAATTAAAAAGCAGGAGGAGAGCCTAAGAGAACTCTGGGACAATGCTAAACGAAACAACATCTGAATAATAGGGGTACCAGAAGGAGAGGAAACTGAGCAAGGAATAGAAAACCTGTTTGAAAAAATAGTAACAGAAAATTTCCCTGATATAGGGAGGAAAAAACTCACACAAATCCAAATACTGAATGTTTACCTCTAATTTTCAAGATAAACTATTGTCAAGAAAATATTCAAAGATTTCATAATGTAACATACATGCAAGGTTTGCTGAGATTTTTCACTAACATTAGAAAATCAAATTAGTCTTCTATCAGGGACTTTATATAAACCCATGATACCCAAGCTAGTTTGCATCTTAAAATTCCGCAGTTTCTCTAACAGATTTTTTTCCCATTAAAGCACTAGTTGCACAACACCACAAGGGGGCATAGTTCACACACCTATGGGGAAAGCTACTTTAGAAAGTACTGCATTCAAATACAATCAATTTGATTTGTCTCAATGATTGTCTAATGTAGTGAGAATTTAATGTTCAAAACCACAGCCATTTAATTAGTATTAGTTATATTACTAATTTACAACCATAACTATTAATCAGATAAACACATTTCTGCCCAATTTCTATTTTTTTCTTTTGACCAATACAAAAGTTTAACCAAAGTTCAATGTGAAAATGGACAGGACTCAATTTTTACATTGTAATAAAACAAGTGCTGTGGAGAGGGAACATGTGGAAGCAGCTGATTTCTCTGGTGAATATAGCCATTCTTTATACACGTTCCAAGACTTCTAACATTTTCTCATATTACCACCATTCCAGTATTGTTTTGTTGCCATCTCCACACATTAATCTATCACAAGATTCCTAAAGGAATCAAATTCCCGCAATATTCCTTGGACATGTCTGCCACCATTTGATTTCAATGATAAATTCTCGTCTATACATTTTTTTAACTCAGGAGGGCGAGCTTTGCTCATGGTGTCTAAATGAGCTGTAATATACTTCCAAACAAAATGAATTCATGGGCTCTCTTCTGCCCAATTTCTTTAAAAATAACAAAAGTATAGTTTAAAACATGAATTTAACATGTTGCTCAGTGGTTAGAGTGTCCGCCCTTTGCACCAAAGGATCATGGGTTTGATTCCCAGTCAAGGGCACATATCTGGGTTGCAGGTTTGATCCCTGGCCTAATCGGGGCACATGCAAGAGGCAAACAATAGATGTGTCTCTCTCACATCAATGTTTCTCTTTGTCTCTCTCTGTCTCTCCTTCTCTCACGTTTTCTCCCTCTCTGCCATTCTTTAAGAAATCAATAGGAAAAATAACTTCAGGTGAAGATTAACAACAACAACAAAAAGTCTCAGCAAGATTTCTCCAACCACTTACTTATATGTACCAAAATAGAAGTATACACATCATAAAAATATTTCCAAGCTCCATTTATATATCTCAACATTTGTAAGATCCCTTATATCTTATGGCACTATGGAGTATAAGCAACCATGTAAAAGATAGTTCTTACATTTGTAAAGCCTATAAGTCATTTTTTAAAAAAATATCTTTTTATTGATTTTAGAGAGGAAGATAGAGGGGGGAGAGAAAGATAGAAACACCAATGATGAGAGAGAATCATCAACTGGCCACCTCCTGCATGCCCCCCCCACTGGGGACCATGCCCGCAACCTGGGCATATGCCTTTGACTGGAATCGAACCCGGGACCCCCCAGTCCACAGGCCAATGCTCTATCCACTGAGCCAAATCAGCTAGGGCAGTGGTCGACAAACTCATTAGTCAACAGAGCCAAATATCAACAGTACAACGACTGAAATTTCTTTTGAGAGCCAAATTTTTTAAACTATATAGGTAGGTACATTGTTATTAACTTAATTAGGGTACTCCTAAGGCTTAGGAAGAGCCACACTCAAGGGGCCAAAGAGCCGCATGTGGCTCGCGAGCCACAGTTTGCCGACCACGGAGCTAGGGCCTATAAATCATTTTTTAAAAAGATACATATGCAAAGTTCATCAATAGGAGCACAATATAGCTTGTCTAAGCTAAGAGGCAGAGCAGCTACCAGATACCTTATTCAAAGAAGGGCAAGATATTCTTGCAGACAGATGAGGAAAACTATCCCCAAAGTAGCAGGATTTCAGCTGGGCTAAAGCAATGAGCAGAACTTGAGAGAGAGGAGGTACGATTTTCTAGAAGCAGAAGCGTGAGCAAAGTCATTATTTTTAAGTACTCAGCCTTACCCACAGTAAAAGAAAGTTATTTCACTAGTTCTAAGCTCTTTACTCACTTTCTTCTTTCTTCTCTCCATCTTGCAATCTCCTCTGGAGTATCTAACTTGATCTTCTTCATACCAGGAACATGCATCTAG